AATTCCCCTTTACTTTTGATACAACAGTATCATAATATTTATATATATGAAAGCGGTGCCTTATATATATTATTACTTTTTGTATAAATTATAAATAATTTATGTAAAATGTTTTTGATACCAGTTTCACCCCTGAAATCAGCAGAGGAGTAAAGTCAAAGTAAATGATGTATCTGACCTACCAAGAAAGATTTCTACATAGTGGACTGAGGGACTGAAAAACAGCAACACATTTTAGAGATTGTACTGTCATAATCATCCTCCAGTGCAGTAAAATGTATTTATGAACTCTAAAAGGTCTTGACTAAAGGTTATTCAATTATAAGATTTTCAGATGGGACCTGCAGATACACAAGTATAGCACTGTCATTTTTATTTATTATACTGTTTTTCTTCAAGCCAACTGCACTAAAAAGCATGGTGGACTGTGAAAGTTACAAACAGGAAGGACACAGAATAGCCTAACAGCTCTGCAATCAAAGACAAAGCCATCTAACGTACACACTGTGTTGTTTTATACAGAAGGACATGTAAGGTGTAAATGACCCACACTATAGTTAAAGGCAACAGCTCAGTGTAATAAAACAGGCGGAACTATATGGAATGTCAGTGAGCTACTCGTTCATTCTTATCGTGCTACTGCAACTGCAAAATGTACAGTGCTGGGTTGGACAAGACTAATAGCAATGAACTAAATAATGCAAAGAAAACAACATTAATCTGAACAATGGAATTCTTATAATATTCCCTCCTTATAATATAGCACTATCATAAACGCAACACTCAAACTGTGTGTCCATATTCTAAAATTATAAACTCAAGCATTGTTCCACACTGTCAAACTATGTTCTCAAAGATAAAATAAAGCAACAATGAACCAGTAACTCATAATATCTGATGACATTAAACTTTTGTATTCATAAACATCTAGAAACAATAGGAACATTTATCTAAAACTGGCTTTCATCCTCCTTATGACATGGTGTCATCCTGCTTTCTCTCTCTCTGCTACACATGTCGATTGTTAGCCTTTCTCCCATCATTTTAAATCATTTTGTGTGTTGGCTCTCTGTCTATCTCTCTGTCATTGTTACCTCTGCCAGTCATCTGACCTGTTGAACTTGTGCGATAAAACCGCAGAGGTAGCCATCAGTCATGTGTCGCCTTGTTGTCCTCCTCCACCAGCCTTTGAACTCAGCTTCCTCAGCTCCTCCCTGCTGGCCGTGCTCTCAAACCTGAGGCCCTCTATGACCAGGGTCTCTCCGTCCTCCTCTATGCTGGCCTCACACTCCTGCTGAATCTGTCACAACAACAACATGTACACCAGACCACGCTGTGAATGGTATGTAGAAAGTAAAGAGAATGATGCACACATGGTTTTAGTGTGTGCATGTTTATGTATATATGCTGTCCTCACTACAGTGGTACTTTGCCTGTCTGGTTCCAGACCTCTGAATAAGCTCCTACATTTCAAATTCTGTTGAGAGATTCAAAGCTCTTTCATAAATGACTGTATTTCCGGTTGCAGAAACAACTGAACCAATCACAACCTCTGTAGTGATTGACGTTGGGAATGTCATCGGACAGGGCCACAGCCAGAACCCAAAGAAATATGACAACTAGCGTGGATGAAATTGACACAGCTATCAGGGCCACTGTGAATCAAATGTATGACATAACAGCTCCTAAATCAGATTGCTATGCACTGAAGGCATTTCTATAAAGCAAATAGGATTTTTCTCAGTCTACCGAAAGCTTGTGTAAAAAGTTTTATTTATTTGTTGGCCCCTTCTGGTACGTGAGGAAATAGGTCAGGAAGATTAATGCTTAAAGCCGTTTGTCCCCTGATCGCTTTGACGGAAGACCATGTAAAAGCTACAGAGAGGCTCAGCTTAGCATGAACAGTGACAATTAAATGATAAACTAGTTAAGCAGCTTCTGTGACAACTGAAATTTATGTTGATGGCAATTCAGTTTACATGCATATATGTAGCTAGTGTTTTGCCACTGAGAGGGCAAATTAACTGCGTTGCTATGCAACTGTAGGGAATTCATGTAGCCCAACTACTACTGACCCCAGTATTGAGTGAATGTAATAGCTTCATTATGTGCTTCAAAGACAGGATTAAAACAAATTAAACAAATATACCTCTCTGATGCCCATGATGTAAGAGCATCAGTTGGGGGAAAGAATAAAGAAGGAAGTCAAGAAGAAGAAAAAAGACAAACCTACATGATCAACTAAGCTCTCTGAGGTTAGTATGGTTAAGATGAGACCTATAAAACCACTTGTTTAATGTTAGGGGATAACTGTTATCAACATCATAGTCACATGGTTCCATTGGAGTTTGTCCTAGTATTCACTCCCCCCAGTACACATACCATTCTGCGCCGTCTCAAGTTGGAGGAGCCTGTTAATGTACAACAGTCCAGCAGCTCTTCTATATCTCTCAGCAGCAGCTGGGCCTTTGACAACACTGCAATGAAATTGACACAAAATTGGCATTTTTCAAACAATTCCTCACAGCACTCCTGCAGGCATGTAAACCTCACAGCTCCAGGGAACAGAAGTGACACTGACAAACCAGCCGAAATGCCACTTATATCACAATTGTTTTGGATTGAATATAACATTATGGCAATGGGTGTGGACTTAATGGTATCTCTTAGAGGATGAAAAACTGTTTTACAAGATTGGGAAAAGCATAGTGTAGTCTAAACTCTTGGCTGGAATGTTTATGTATGCCTATAAGTACAGCCTGAAGACACCACTACAATTATCTGAGCTCCAGAAAAGAAATGTGTATTTATTGTTCAAATGATAATGAAAAGGTCATTTCATGTCACTGACTCCAACTATGTTAGCCTTAAATCAAGACTGATGTTACACAAAAAACACTGCATATTTAATATTTGATAGATGTTTGGAAAGAAATCAAAGAAAAGCTTTTTTACTGCACTTAAAAAGCGTGTTTCATCTCTGAAAGAACAAAACTAAAACAACTAGTGTATGCCACATTCACAGGGAAGTGAGTAAGAAACCAATTTTTCATTGTGCTGATACTGTATATGCAAGTGTTCAAGCTTACATTCACGAGTCTTCGAAATGCAGATCCTGGGTTTCTCTTCAAATGTCATGTCACTGATGTTTGCAGCTTCTTCCACAGTCAAAGCCCAGGATTTATATTTCACACTTTTGACTTGTATGTCCTTTAAAATGATTAAAATAGGACATTTAGGAAATATTTGGTGACACTTTAAATATAGCAATATTATGCTTAGTATTGTTAGAATACTCAAAATTGTTTTCTGCTTTCTCTTAAACTTTTATGATTGTTCAGATGACACCATTTAAACTATTGTATTAATTACACATGTTGGCAAAGAGTGAGATTTTTACATACACATATACTGTATGCAAACTTTAATGTTCTGCCCAGCACATCTATTGTCTGCTGGTAAACGTCACACTTGTCACACTTGCAAACAACATATTTCACTCTCCCACTTCCCCAACACAAATTTCCCAAGATTCATGCATAACATCGACATTAGAATATTAATGTTTAATGATTTAACACTAGAGTATATACTATGTGTTGATCAACTATTATAGTTTGGTATCTAGATATCTTTCTATTTCAGTAAGCAGAATTACTAAACCTGTTGTTTTAAAGCCATAATGAGAAAGCAATAGAATGTTTCATTAGAGTGAATGAATGATTCTTTTGGACTCCTTCAAAAATATTTAGATTCAATCTGAGAGACTGTCCTGAGTGCTAAAGATGCCATCAGGAACACACTTTGATGCACATTATGTCGGAATTTCGAGTTGCACAGGGGTTTTGACTATCAATTCATAATGTTAAAGAGTTGCAAGTTTATCATCTAATATTTATCAGTTTATATTTATGGTACCAAAGCAAGAATGGCTCTCACACTCCAAATCCAGCAGCAGGAGCAGTCAGGACAGGCTGCTTGGCATTAGCTAATCTGTCTTTCCCAACAGCTTTACTGTTTGTTTATCTTTTACTCTATAGACAAAAGAAAACATCACATAGTATGGCTGATCAGTGTTTACAGTGAATATGTTAGAAAATAAATATCATAAATTATAAATCATAAATAAGGGTAATCTATAGTTAAGACCATTAAGAAAAAAATTCAACAAGTTAAGTAATTAAGATACAGGTTAACCAAAACCAGTGACATTTAATCTAATTTAGTTTTTCTGCTTTGGTGATTAATACAAGCTAGCTTGTTAAGATAATGTTAGCTAGCTAGCTAGCTTACCTCTACATCAGTAAACGTCGCATGTGAAAAGAAAATAAGACAAAACCTGTGTGCAGTCATTAAAGTACGTATTTAGGTTTGGTTTTAGAAATTATATTTTGGCCAAGTCTGACGACGATAAATATATCATATTTAGTTAGCAAGTTAGCAACCGGCTAAGTAAGACGTCAAGTCAGTACCACTAACCTTGCTTTACCTGTAGTTAATCGTATTTAAATTCAAAGTTGTTCAAGACATTGAGTTCTTTTCATTTCTTCTTCCTTACTTAATTTTCGTCGGTGCTCACTGGCCTCTTCCTGTTCTTTTGCTCCCCTAGCTGTGGAAGAAAAGTGTGTTGTTAGAATACTCCACTCTTTCCACTCGTCCACTTTAGCCCTGGCCTGGGTAAGACTGGGACCTCCCAAATTAATGTGAGACGGCCAAATTATGTGATGACCTCTTAAATCTGTAAGGAAACTGTCGTCTTCACTGGAGGCTCTGGACTATTATGTTATATTTTTCAGTGATATTTTTAACAGAGTTTCCCCTTTTATGTTATCTTACTAAATTAAGTACACTGCGTTAAATCAATATTCTGCTTCCCCGTCTGCACTCTAGACCAACACTTGTAATGTCACACACCTCGGATCAACGTCACACCGTGCTTTTATTTTGAAAGGACTTCAACAGTCAAGTGACTCCCGGAAGTTTTTGTTTCCTCACCTGTCAGTTCTGACACGGTGCGAATGTTCAGCCTCGTCTCTTTGTTTGTCTCCGAGAAACAGGTCTTCTTTTGTCAAGAATAAATGATAATCCTGTGTGGTCAACTGAAACCTAATTGAGGACAGCATCTAACACGGTTGGTGAAAGTCGAGAGTGTAAAATAATCGACTGCTTTTACTTCACCTAGCCACAAATAGCCAGAAACGTTAGCTAAGCGCTAGCTAAATGTTATCATCATAACAGATCGATCGTTGTCATCACTGTAACGTTAGCTATTGGTATTGACTTTACGATTGTCTAGGTCATTGTGTACTGATTGTGTTTTTCATTCTGTAGCCTACTGTAGAGCTGCCTATCAATGTGTTTTGTCGGCTGTCAACAGAGCTCACGGAAGCTAACACCACAACGTTAGCATCGTATACAAACGAGATTCATTGATTGTTTACATCTCTATTATGGCTGCTTTCCATTACCGCTTTTTTACATTACGTGGTCTCTTGATTGATGTCAGTTTCTTGTCAGGGCTTTAGCTGACCAAATTTATCGTAGGAATTGTAACAAAATGACGTTGCTCTACGTGTTTTGGACACACGTTCACTTTCGTTTTGTGTACTTGAAGTGGTCACTTTCGATTTCATGCCACTCGCTCAAGTCGTCCATGAAAGTCAGCTATGGTTTTTCTTGGTTTATATCTATGACATGGATCTAAAAGCCTGTCTGGGTATTCTACTGAAACTTAGTTATTTCTCTAAGAGCTTCCGCCATCTGTGTTAAAAACTTGGCTCCTCAGTGTTTGCTGCATCATTGCATGCTGACATCATCAATAGCGTTGGCTGCACCGTCTCTGCTGCCGAGCTACAAACAGAGAGAATGCAGGAGGGTGTGGGGTTTAGGCCGGTTTAAGATAGTTTGGTTGGACTGATAAAATTCATGCTCAGAGTGATTTGGACAGTGTGACATCCTGATAACAACAGGCCAGTACCGAGAAAGAGTGAGACCCTTTTCTCCTCTGTAACTGTGCACAATCAAAAGTTTACCTTTGTATTAACACAGATCTCATATAGACTATTACCCCTTCTGCAATAAATTGTAGATGTTGCACACCTTTACTCCCATGTCATTGGCATTTTAGCCAAATGGTCTCATTTTTTTAAGTTCTGTGGAGCAGACTGTTCAGATAAGCTATATGACTAAAGTTTGATGGAGATTGAGTCAACTTTGTACAAGAAAGATATCTCTTACTGTACGGTTGGTCTGATGATGGTGGTACTGAGCTTATTCACATGTGGCTTCATGCTGTATGAGGCCTGTCCCAGTCACTGTAGTCATACAGAAAATCAACTCAATAAACTCCTGCATGAAGTAATGATCAAACAAAACACACCTGTCAGACAAACACTTGAGCATTTGATACAAGTTCATCTGGTCCTTTAATACTAGGGCAAAATGTTAAAAACGCTTTAAGATCAAGAATCTCTCACCTGCTTGAATGTGAATGTGTCTGAGTGAATGAGTCTGTGAGTCGAGATGTTCTGTTTTGTTCTCTTCCTTTTCTTTTTATTTCTATTATGTTGTGCTTTGCTTCAATGTAATCATAATGTCTTTTGAAAAATCAATAAAGATTTTTTTTTTTTTAAAACTTTATAACATTTATGAAGTGCTGTTGCATATGTTTTAAACATTTTACCTCTGGTAGCTCTTGTCAAAATGTCTTTTGCACACAGGAAGTGATAAACTGTACATATTCTGCAGCAGCGGTTTGTATGAAAGAAATAGATGACTATCCCATAGTGAACATGAATAGAGAGGAGGGCGCAACCTTTGGAAACTCAGTGTAATCCACTGTAAAAAAGATATAGCACTGGGACACTGATTGATTATAGAGTGATCTGTAGGATATGCAACAAAAGTAGTAAAGACCACCTACCCCCCAAGATGTCCATATAAACATGGCGGCCATGTGTTAATAACAAGACTTTTTTGCCTAATGCTTTAGGATAGAAGGTGCTAACTTCATTAACTTCATTAAACAAATTATTTCATTTCATTTTTTTCTTTGGCTTTTGCAAAAAAACAAAAGGACACTTCATTTTGAAAATGAAACAGTTCATGTAATCCCCAGGTCTTCTATCTGCTACAGAGTAGGCCTGTGCAGGCATGGAGCCCCTGGCAGTGGATGATGACATCTGTATTCTCAAACATGAGACAGCCTACACCGCCATCGGCGAGAGCCCTGTATCGGTGTGTGCCGGCGATGAATCCGTTGCTTCTCACTTCGCCCTGGTCACAGCCTATGAGGACATCAAGAAGAGGCTGAGAGACACAGAGCGAGAGAATACATTGCTGAGGAAGAGGGTTAAGCAGCTGGAGGATAAGGTATAGCTGTAAATGGGCAGGAAGTAATGACGGTGGGGAAAAGACAAGGAGAAGATAGAAGGAAGAGATAATAGCTTGAGGAGAGTGAAATAAAAGAACATACTGCTGCTTATCCAGATGGCTACACAGCCAGAGTGCAAGGTTTTGAAAGTTTGAGCTGAAGACAGAGATGAATGAAAACAGTTTTCTTTTCCATTTCCCAGGATGTCAGAATTATAGACAAACAGAAAATGCTTAGAGAAAGTTTGGAAAAAGTCAGCAAATTCAACACCACACTGCAAAATACTTGCCTCTGGGAGAGTCTGCATGCCAGCATCATTAATATTGTTGGCCTATAGTTAAAGCTATAAAACAATGAGAAATAAATCTGCTCTGTCTAAAAAGAGAGAGGAGGTCTGGAAAAGCGTGGCATTGCCAAACAATGTGTTGGAGCTCTACACATTGGAGGAGAAGGCTCATAAAATTGGATTTAAAAAAAACAAAGCATCCAGTACAATGCACAGAGCTATGTAAACAGCAACAGTCCTAATACAGACGGTGGGCTAAAGTGAAAATGCTGCACAGTATGTGGGCAGGAAACCTCTTTATCAATTTTGATTTTATTTGTTGCACTATCAAGGTAGGATGGGGTGGGAGGAAAGTAACTTCCTACCACAGATATTTAAATTCAATGAAATTGATCTCAGCCCTGCTCTTGTCTTCTCTGTGTGTTTTTATCTATCACCACTGTAGCTCTTCAGGCCAGATGCGCCTCCATCAGAGGGTCCCCAGTATGTGAACAAGGCCTTCAGTGCTTACCGAGGTATCTATATAGAGAAGGAGGACCTGCAGATGGAGCTTAACAAACTGGTGCGTACAGTGATGAATTTGAACCTTCCTCAAACAGACACAAGAGCCGTGTGCAATGATCCTGTATGTTGCAAACCTGAAAACAATGCACATTTTTAAGTCTAAGGAGAATAAAGAGAGGGATTTTTGTAACTAATTCTTCTGCTGTCATTTCATTGAGAACTTAAGTAGAACCACCAAGCTTATGATATAATTATACCAATATAGCACAGCTACAATGAGCTTACATTTGAGCATCGGCTTCCTGCATTGGCATGAATGCTGACTCTCCCTTCATCCCCCTCTCCTTTACTGTCTCCTCTCTTTCTCTGTCAGAAAAAGGAGAAGAGCGAGAGTGAGAGGTTGCTGACGGAGCAGCTCCAGGCCAAAGAGTTGGAGCTGCTTCAGCTGAGGACGGAGATGGAGACTAGCCAAGGTATAGGTAGAGCACACAGGCCTGCTTTCTATTCTGTATAACAGAGAAGCACTCAGTAGAAAGAATTAGTTTGTAAGTTAATTTGTAAATTAGTAAGTTATTTTATGCACTAGTTTGTGTTTGGAAGCAACAAAAAGTCTTTTGACTGAGATGATATTATACATTTATGTGTTAACATATTTTGATTATGAGGTCTGTGTAAAATTTCAAGTATGACATAAAACCAGTAACTAGGTACGAAAGTAACTAATTACATTCATTCAAATAAGTGCTTTTGAGGTATTGAATTTTAGGGAGGAAAATATTGCACTTTTTACATTTATTTGGCAAGTATAGTCTAGTTACTAGTGCCTATTCAAATCAAACTTTTACATACAAAGCCTATCAACAAAAATCATCACTTGTAATGAGTTACTTACACAGCAGCTTGTAGGTCTCTCGTTCTCTGTAAAGCCAGACCAGTCTTGGCTGTGATCCTTGTGTCTTTATAATGGAGAGAGATTCACATGCACGAACATGCACACACTGCCAGACAGGCTACCAAAACAAAGAAAACAGAGAAGCTCAGATTACAACACATGCAGAAGGTGACTTCATTCTCTCCTCAGGACGCCATTACTCCACTATATCTTCTGCTATATTATTGTTTCATTTACAGAACATTTAAGCACATTTTGGTGATAGTATTTCTGTATTTTTAACTCAAAAGTTTGAAAGATGGACTTTTTTTTAATGGTGAATTTTTACTATGTGGTGTTACTGCTTTTAATTACATAAAGATCTGAGCACCTCTACCACCACTGTGTAAAACCATGTATTTTTATTATATTGCTCTATATTGAAGTTTTTAATATAGAGTAGAAGTCACTATCACTGAAGTGATGATAATAATAGTATATCTTTTGTACTGAATCTGGTCAAAAAAGCTACAGACGAACCTTTGCTTCCTTTATAGAAATAGAACCTGCTCTCCCATGTACAGTAGAAAAAGAATTGTTGAAGCTGTATTTCTCTCTGTCCTGGAATATGATGATGCAATATATAGACATGCTGCTATTACCACTCTCAGACCTCCACTCTTAGATTTATTACTGGGGATACCTACAGTACCCATCATTGCACTTTCTATGAAAAGGTTGACTGGTCCTCTCTCTCTCTGTGAGAGGAGATCAATGTTGGTTTATCTTTATTTACAAAGGACTCTTAAATAAATTACCAAATTACCTTACTTCACTAAGTGTTCCAGACTCATGGAATAACCTACAAAGCACTGATAACACTCTGATCATTTAGAAATGTGCTTTTAAGTCTTTTAAATCTTAATGTCTTTAAATTTAATTGTTTTTATTACGAATTGATTTTTGTATTCCTTCTGTTTGGCTTATTTTCTTTCTGCTTATGTAATCTGGGCATCATTGAAACTGAAGGTCAGCCCTCAATGTATCCCTGAGAAAATAAAGGTTGATGATGATGATAAATGGAAGACATTAGCCTAACATTTTCAAGTTCAAGTTCAAAAGTTATACAAAAAATATTAAAATTTTACATTTATTCACTCATCAACAGTGACTGTTCAACTTCTTTTTTTATCATGTGTCCAGTGATGAAGAGCTTGAACAGCCCACAGGACTACTGGCAGGTGGACACGGTCAGCACTGAAGTAAAAATCCACAAACTGCAGGAGGAGCTGGAGAGAGTGACACTGGAAAACAGCAGACTGGTGGAGAGAAGTGGGGTAAGTATAGGTGGGAAGAAAGAGCTGGAAAGAGAGGAGAGAATAATGGAAAAAGGAGGACAGAGAAAAGAAGGGGTGAGAGAAGAAGAGCCAGAGAGACCAGCACAGAAAAACAGTAGATTTGGAGAGATGTGGCATAACAGGAAGAGAGAGGAAGACAGTGGAGGACAGGTGTTAGGGCAGAGAGAGACAGAGTGACACTGGGGAACAGACTAGTGGGGAAGTAGAGGGAAGAAGAAAGGATGAAAGAAAAGAGAGTATGGCTTGAAGGGGAGCAAAACAACTTCAGACACCTCCACTCTCTATTTTGCATAACTTGACTCTGTTTTAGGAGGAACCCCATGGCCTTAACGGACCAGACTTGGACCAGACCTGTGACGCAAAGTATATTACAAGGTAGAATGCTTTATGAATATCATTGAAGAGTGGCTGCCAATTCAGTGCCCAAACCTCAGTTATCTGCTCTGGCTAAGATAAAAGCCAGGATGGCCCTTTAAAACATTTATTAACCAAAAAGAACAAAAAAAAAACAACATGAGGTGCAAGTGTGGGACAAATGTGATAAGTCAGGTGTGCTGTAATAGTGATTTTATTATTACAGGATGCTCTCTCCTAGTATGTAGTTGCCCTCTTTGGCCACTAGAGGAGGGTGCAGCTTTATACATTCTAACTGTCTGCATAACAGCTTATGATATGCAGATGCAACTGAACCTTAGACATGATTGAGACCAGCTAAACACTTGTGTCTATTATAAATAGTTTAAATTTGCACTACAGTGTGTACAAGCTCCAGGGCATATGGAATCACCCACCACCTACTTTTTCAGTAAGATAATCCTCTGTAAATTAGCACTGACTTACATTTCATGAAGACAGTTCTGTGTGTGGTGCATTAGGATTGTTTCTCGTGTCAGCAGTTTTCAGGTGTTAATTTTTAGCAGCACAAAAAGCTTTAGTTTTTCCTCACACTTTTTCTTTTCATGCTTTTCATTGTTTGAGGCTGGCATTTGAAGTTAAGGCACAAAGTGTTGATGAGATTTTGCATCTTTACCAAAAGGTGTGGATAGGACAGTTTGTAGGTGTTGCTGGCCTCAGCAAACCTACCACATTTTAATACGCTTGATGCTACTGTGCGATTTAGCATGAATGCAGGCTGCCCTTACTGGCATTATTGTTAATGTAGCGAATAATGTGTTTTTCTTTTGCAAGTCAAATATAGCCTAAATGTACCATAGTAATGTGAACTTGTGCTGTTAGGTGAATATGGTCATCTGCACAGTGAGTGACTGTGTTAAATGTGTCATAAATGAAACAAACAATATTGAAAAATTAAAGTTATCACAAAGAAATTACTCTGTTAACAAGCCCCTCTAAAAAAATGAAATAGATAAAGTAAGTAGATCCGGTTTCTGTAATTATATATCCTACAAATTTTTTTCAAATTCATGTCGTATGCGACAGTTTTATGTCTTGGAATTTCAACAAACAGGTGAAATTGAACACCTTCTTAGTTTAAGGAGTACCTCCAACAATATGAAGGATAACTATGAGCTACAGTACACCCAGCTTATGATCCTTTAGCACACGAGATCCTGTCTGACAGTTGGATGTTTCAAACAACGCACAGGCTCTATAGAAAAGCAGAAATACCTTAAACATGATGTTTAAATCAAATATTGTGTTGATCTGCAGTGAGAGGAGCATGCAGCAGATGTGCCAAGCTTTGCGCGGTGAGGTCACTCGTCTCCATTCAGAGCTGAAGCACCAAACAGGCCTGATCAGGAAGCTCAGGCCATTGATCGGTGAGACAAGACAAGGTAAAGCATAATACATCGTTTCGTCAATATAGATCTTTCCGCCCTTCATTTCTGTGTGTGTGTGTGTGTGTGTGTGTGTGTGTGTGTGTGTGTGTGTGTGTGTGTGTGTGTGTGTGTGTGTGTGTGTATATGAGTATATGTAATAACCCACCATGCACTGCTCCCCTGCTGCCATTTCACACCTCCTCATCACCTCAGCATGAGGAGCATCCTGTATCCCCTATAGTCCCCTATCGTTACCATTCAGATGCAGCGAGTGCAGCCTTGAAATCTTTGTTTAGAGGTTTTTTATGTCTCTCAGACTAATACAAAAACTAATGTGGTTTTAGCTTTAGAGCCCAGGTAATGCTCTTCTTTTGTTTTAATCTTTTTCCCTTCATATATATATATATATATATATATATATCCCATTATATTATATTGACCCATTTTATATTTTATTTTATTTTATTTTTATATTTGTGTTGAAAAACATAAATCTAAATTTAAATAAGAATTGCGTGCATTAATGTGATTGTAACATTACTTTTGCATTTGGCCTGTTGCCAAAAAACATGCTTCTATTGACAGGAACTAATGTGTCCAAAATCAAATGAAAGGAGGGAGTTACTACTGCCTCTCCTCACTTAGAGAGGGCTTTTTTCACGAAGTACTACTTACTGCGAAGATTTCTCCTGCTGCTCCTTGTTACAATTTGTATAAGGGTGCGATACGACTGCAGATACTATCTTAGTGCTCAAACACTTTGATAAAGGACATCATGAAATGGTCTATCCTTCCTCTCCCCTCCCTCTGTGATGATGTATTCTACCTAGAAGAGATTACCTCTGTTGTCGATTCCCTCGGAGTGTCAGAAGAGGAGACCAGGAGGTGAAAATTAGAACGAAATATGGCAAGAAAATAAATCTTGGCCTATTTATTCCACTGAATAAGAGGGTAATCCTGTAACTTAGATGAGACAGATGGAGAGAAATAAGGAAAGCGGGAGTGGCAAAGAAAGGGAGAGGGGAGGAGGAGGAGGAGGGTGAGCTATGTATTTATTCAGTCATATTGTGCATCTGTATTCTTCTAATGTTCCTCCTTTGGAATCACTTTTATTCAAATCCTAGACTCAGGAGACCCTCTCATGGAAGAGTAGCAGGGAGGGGATGGATGGATGGATGTGTGTGGATGGAGAGAGGTAGGGGGAAAAAGCGAGAGGAGATACTCTCATTTAAACTTTATTATTCACTCATGATGATTTGATAGCAAAGCAACGATGTGTGTGCAAGATTAGGACATTTGATTTGTGTGGCTTAATCTATGCATAGAGGTTTGTCTGATTAGGTTTTGTACTGGTGAGTGTTGTATGATTATTATGGATATTTACATGGTGCAGGGGTTTTGGTGTACAATATGTACCCTGCTGCATGGTGTGAGATTTTACTTTCACTTCTCTGTTTCTACGCCTATTATCTAGTCAGGGATCAAAAGGCTTTGTTGAACACGCCATAGATTTTTATCTCTTTAGAAACCTAAGCTTAATCCACATGTAAATAAGTACAGAAATAAGTACAGAGGTGCGATCATGGTGCCAAACACTAAAACAGACTGCTTTTAGCTATCAGAGGAAAGAGTAGATGGCTTCATTTACTCTGCCAAGTGGATTTTACAGACTGACATGTTGGAGTTAAAACAACAAAACGATTTCATAGACATTTCTCACCAGCTAATCAGAAATATGGAACATTTGATAGAAATTAACTGAGAAATCAATGAGTGATATCCATTTCTGACATAGTTATGTTAATGCAAATTATCAACATTGAAATAATAATACATTGTTCATTGTACAATATACAATGAAATTGGTTGGTGAATTATTACAATTAGGAAGAGAAACAATAGTCAAAATGTTTTTTAAAAAATCTTGGAAGAGATGCAAGTATTACCACTAATGCTGCAGCTTCCATTTTTGAAATAAACAACCTGTACTCAGGTTCTCACCTCAAGAGTTATTGCAACTATTAATACAGCCACATGCAATTTTGTGTTTCCTTTCACTCTCGGCTTTCCTCACTCTAACCTCCACTCTGTCCCTCCCCTTTTATGTCTCCAATCACTTTCTCTGTCTCTAGCTGCCTCAACAGTTCCAATCCAGTGTTTGGATGACATGGAAAAGAACAACCACCCAGTTCCACGAGCACCAGTGCCTCGTCCCCCTAGTGCCCCCCCACTCCCCTCGTGCTCCGGGCGCCCCTGCCCCCCTGTCGGTGGCCCATCAGGCACCCTGCTGCCCGACAGTCTGAAGGAGGACTGCTGGTACAATGGGCCCTGGCCCTCGCAGAGCTGTTCAGGAGAGGCTCTGGTTGGGAGCAGTGCCTGCTCTGTCGTCCTGCCCCCGCCTCCCCTGAACCAAGCTTCCCTGGATGAGAGCTCGAGGTCCTTCCCCAGTCCCCCCAAGCCCAGTGACGCCATGTTCTGGGAGGGACACTCCGCTGCATCCAACTCCTCATGCTCGATGGGAAACTGTAGTCCCAGGAGCCCTCCCAATACTGAGTGGACCAAGCCCTATTGAGAGGAACTTTGATGGGAGAATAGATGATTAAACAGAGTGTGTAATTGGATGAAAAACAGATGAATGAATGGACTCTCCAACCCTGCCACATAGCTACCACCTAACCTGCCTTAAGTTGATAAGACCACTCCTCTGGGCTGGACTGGACTGGACCTACTGGTTGTGGGAACTAACTGAACCAGAGGAAGCCTTTTCGAGGTGAAGACTCTGTAAACTTATTCATTTCTCTGCACACTGCATCGGTGAACATATCTGACCCTGCAGAGGAAAAGTTGAGGAGGGACCCTCAGTAGAATCAATAGTTTGTCCATGTGTATGTATCCTTGTATGCACATGTATAAGTGTGTGCAAGCATGCACACAAGCAATTTAATTTCTGTGTGCATATAAACACATCAAACAGAGTGTGCCTGTGTGTGCAGATCAGTGTGTGGGCATCTCTCGCCTGCCTGTATCTGTATCTTGTCATAATGAACCCAGTAGGGCTCAAAGGGCCTCTTTCTCCATTCACTGTGGCCAGTTATCACTAGGGCCACAGTTGGATACATAGTGCGAGAATTTGCAAGACTATACTCCCTCCAATAAAAGTCTTTTTACATTTGATGGCTGTAAAGCATACAAGGTATGTAGTCCCATGTCTGTCTCATGATCATGTGAGGGAGATGTCTAGGTACAAGGACTTGATTTGTTTGTTTCTGTACTGTGATGGAGACAGACATATTGTAACTATAGGATAATCACAGATTGTTGATCCAAATTTTAACAGCTACCAAATAAAACCTTTTTTCCAAAATTGTTATTTTCATCAGTGCTGATGGATCATTATCAAAATATGGCTGTCAGTCTACCTATGCTTACCAAATCATTTTTGAGAATGCAGTTACACTATTTGGATTTTTGAGGAGATTGCGTAATGACTAGCAAATAATTTTTATCTAAAAATGTATTGCTTTCTGAAATAAAACACTTCACCCACACTGGCACCAGAAAAGGTTAAACTGTTTACGATTTCACAGAAATTTCACAACTCATGCAAGCCTCTGTAAACCTGCCTGTTATCACATATTCAATTTTCTCAGAACTACTATTAAACAATACCTGTCATGTTTTCATTACCCAATTGTAAAGGGACATGTATATGTAAGGTTGTGCAATGTTGGATGTTTTTCTGTAGGACTTTTAATTTGAAGGACTGATGGGATAGAATCCATACACTCCCCTGTATTCTGGAAACCTGATTATGTTGGAAACCTGCTTTTGAACAATAGGAAATGTATCTAAACTCTGTACTGTGCTGATGTTAAACTATGACACATTTGTTTTGCAGTATGAGATACGTTGTTGTGTGAAGAGGCAAGTTTCTCTTTGATTTCTCTTTTTAAAAGTCAGATGAGTATAAACTGAACGATGTACAAAAGAAAACACATTATGAGTAGAATATATACAGAAGGAAGAATGTGCATATCTGTATAAATGTAAATGGTGGGCTTCAGTACTCTGCCAAACGCGGTTTTGCACTCCAAACCATAGGTTTTGGTTTGTTTTGGGTTTTTTTTTTCTCCCCCAACCCCAACACTTGTGATCTATATAAGAGCTGTCTGCAATGGTGATAAGACAATAAGTGTATTAACCTGAAGAAATGTGAGCTGTGACTTGATGAATAGATGCACAAAGCCCAAAGGCCTGTGGTCATTGAAAAGTTTTTGTTTTTCCATTTTCTTCATTCTGTTCCATGATAACTGTGGTCTTTTATTTTTAAGAAATGTTATTTTACAGCAGTAGTTTCATACTTCTGTAAACGATTTGCAAACTAAAATGCAATGTACAGTAGATATGGATTATATTTTAGATTTACTGCACTTCAGACTGTTTGTAAATATGATCGATTAAACGAATGAAAGGAAGTGACCGTGTGAGGTTGCTGTGTTTCCATTCATACTTTTAGCAATGAGGTTTTGTGGTTCAATTTAAAAAACTGTAGGCTTTGGTATATCAAGCTACTTTACAGTTGAAACTTGCAATAACTCAGACGTTTTGAGACATTTACACTTTAAACATAGTTTAAAGCTATGGAAACTCATGATTGACATTCGACATTACTTCAAAACTAAAATAAATTTAAAAACTACTTAAAAAGCAACATGTCCACCTATAATTTTACACGGAAGAGCTGCAGACTGATATAATTTCAATAATCTTGATTAAAAAAAGGAATCCAACCTCAGTCACTTGCCTCATCACATCCATGGATTACACATTACTGCTATCACCAAAGAGAATGAGAAAAAAACACTAAAGAGCTGGGACCAGCTGATATATTACAATGATACCCTATTACATTCAGTCACTGACACTTTTCCTCATAATTTGTGACCATTAAGAAAAATGATCCAAATTTGATTTCTAGTTTTTTAATTGTTACAAAAAAAATAAACAACTAATTAAATAAAGTGGTCTGACCCTTAATTATTGATTTAAGAAGTTAATTCAGCTCCAGACTGTTCTGTTAGTGTGGTCTGGCTCAGGCTGATGTTTAACGCCCTGTCAATTTAAAAATACAAATAAAATTGAAACAGGATCCTCTTAACCAAATATATTAATTAAATATATTGTGCTAATTAAACCCAATTACAGGGACCAATTTAAATCACAATTTAAAGAAATTTCCACCTGCTTTTGAATGAAGTAGACAGTGTACTGTGTACTAAAGAAAACTGTCATTGCTCAGGTTCATGCTCATCTTACCAATAACCGTCTGTACAAACAATTTCAGTCTGGATTTTCACCCACCTCATAGCACGGAAACAGCCATGGTCAAAATCACAAACGACCTGCTGATGGCAGTTGATTCTGGACTATTCTGGGACTAAATGGATGCAAAAATTATTCATATTTTGTATAGTTTGCCACTGATATACACTTTACTGCCACAGAATATTTACAATGTCACATTTCATTGCATATGTCACCTGATCACATGATTTTGTAACTGGGTTACATTGCTTGGTTAGTTGTTAGAGATGTGTTACAAACATTGACTTGAAGTCTTTCTGAATGTTAATATGCACCTTCTGAGGATGCTACTCCACGCCAGGCAGGGGCAACAAGTCAGACACTTCATTACCACTTGAGTTGTCACTGTATGTAGAATATAAACATACCACAAAGTATTCGGCAGACTGCACACTGCCAAAGTGCAGCACTCTTATCGATCAATAAACTCCTTGGTAAATGTAATATAAATGCAGCTGATTCAATCAAGTGAGAAAGATTCTAATGCAACAACTGAGGCCATCAGATGGAGAACAAAAAAAAAACAGGCATCATTTTGATTATATACCACTCTCGCACACCAATGTAGTTTCAGTCACAAATACAACAGGTTTAAATAAATCAAAGGCATGTGGCTTTATCAGTAATAAACCCTGCCAGATGGCCATGTATCTTCGATGTGCAGGACTTTATGCTGTTTCTGCTTAGAGCCCCATGTTCCGTACCTTCACCTTCAAAGAAGTGAAGTTGCTTGGGTGTCATTTTGTTAATTACATGCTAGTTGGGAGTTTTTGTTTCCTGTTCTTTGCTGGGATCCCCGTCCTCTCAAACTCCAGTTTCTCTCGGATGTACTCCTGCTTACACTCCTCAAAGAACGCAGGGTCCTTGTAGCTGTTGGAAGAAGAAGAAACATGGTTTGACTATCACTTTCATAATGATGACATGGTTTTTGAGCCTGCTGAGGCTTGATGGGCAACAGTTTAGTGCGTCAGCAAGGACGGCAGAGAGCGGGTAAGCCCGGGTACAAGGTGTTAGTGGGATAACACGTGGTGCAATAACACAGGGAAGCCACCTTAGTGTGTGTTAGTGCTGAGTGTTGCAGAGGAAACTGAAAAATACTCACTGTAGTGTCAGACATTCCTTCAGCGCTGAATTCTCCTCTCGACACTTAAACGCCATGAAGAAACCAGATTCTTTACAGCAATGGGCAAAGGCTGGATGGAGGTTGAGAAGGAGGGTGTTAGAGAGAGGGGGAATTCAGCAAAATAAAATAAATAAATAAATAATAATAAAAAAAAAGAGGGAACTGGCCTAACCTATACAATAGCCTCAAACAACTATATTAATAGAACCTGCTTCAAATCTATAAACATCCTATTTTACAGCTTATATGATTTCATCCTAAAGTACAAGCACAAAAAAGAAAACGAGTATCCAGAAGCAAACCAAGATGGGCCTCATCTTTGCACTCCACCACAAGAAGGAACCTGGTCATAGGTCACGCTGCCAAGGCTCTTATCAAGCTGAAACCCATGTTTCCTTGTTCACCTAAGGACTGAACTTAACTGCACTGGCCACAAAGTGGTTGTATCTGTGGTCGCTGTCTCTACACTGGCTCTATAACATCCAGCCCATCACCCGCAAATATAAACACACTGCCCCCCACCCCCTGGGAATTAAATATAGGTTAGGCTTCACTGATCACAGTGCCCAATGAGGCCTGGAGCTTGCCAGGGTTATTAACAAGAACTAGGCCAGAAGCAGGAGTGTTTCTAGAAATCACAGGTGCAACATTATTAGGTGTGTGAAATATGTAACCTTAAGGCCGTGTCTGTAACGGATAAGGCAAAGCTGACAGCCACACAATTGCATGATACTGTGACTTTTTGAAAACCCTCACAGACTTGCGTTTGAATAGATGTTAATTACAAAAAAATCATGTTTAAAAGCACAAAGTGGCTCAGTTAAAAATAATGCACACAGAAAAAACCTGAAACAGTATGACTTCAAATCCACTTTAACAAATGTTTAATCTCTGTTGCATGTTAGTCAGTGTCCCCTATATAGGCTGAAATCTAATGCAAGAACAATATCTATACAATTGGAAAATTGGGTGAGCACTAAATATGGTGATTGTCATTTATACAAATCAAAGGCTGCATCAGTGACATTAAACCCCAGCTAGTGGTGTATTGCAGATTAAACGTGCAAGGTCCTTGTTGTAAACAAGGTGCTGAAGACTCTGAGTCTTCACCTTGTTAGCAAGTTCTTGCTCAAGGCTTTAATTAAAACCACTGCCCTCTCATGTCCCCTTCACAAAAAAAAAAAAAAAACTGACACTATAATTACCTGTATCAGTGGCATCAGTATGGTTATCACACAGACACTTTCATCAGGATGCTGCTGTGAAAAAACCAACTGAAAAACCAATTTAGAGAAGCACAACAGTGCGACTAATCTAATCAACAAACGCCTCATCTCTGTCCCATGGTACTAATAGAAGCTGCAGTGGGTTGCCTTTCTGATCGCAGCTACACCAAAGACAAATCTATGTGATCAGAAGAGGCCCCCTTTAAAGAAAAGTGTGATGCCACCTTCACTTGAGACTGTTTTGTGTGCCATTTTTAAAGATGCAGAAGTGCAGCTCAGCAGTCGGCAGTTAGAAGAAAGCAGAAGCTAGGGGCTTGAACGTTTAGGGAGATTTGACCCTTTAGAGGAAGATATAATGTGTGAACATTTAATACATAATTAAATATAACAGAAAATACATGTCAGAATTTTATTTCTGAACAATGAAGTTAAATAATAATGAAACAGTAACTAACTACTCAAAAGGAAAATGTTTCGATTCAGATTTTTTCTTTCATATTTTGAATGGAGAGATCCAAACAGAAACCTAATGAACCAAATTACAACTAGGTTCTGCAAATCAAAGTCTTGCTAATAACATAACAGTAGTCAATGTCACTGAGTCAATGTCAGTGCCAAATGATTTGGTTCTGAAAGACATGAGAGTACTGACATGAATCATCAACACAATAGGAAAAAATCACGTCAGGTAAGATAAAACTACAAAGATGTTACATACAGGTCAGTAGTACTTGTCTGCTTCAACAACAAAGTCTACAATATACCACCATGGGGTGTGTAAAGGTATATACAGAGCCAGATAACACAGGAAAACATACTCGAAGATTGTGTGTTTTTTTTTTTGTTTTTTTTCTTTGTGAAACACAATCATAGACACACGTGCGGGAGCCCAGTGCAGACACAAACATACAGAATGAGATGATAGAGGGTGGAGGATGGAGGTGTGAAAATGAGTGGGACGAGAAGCTAGTAATGTGAGGGGGGTTTCCACTACCCACAGCCACTGTCTGTCCCACCACCTTAGGCTGCATGTGCATTGTCTCCCTATGTGAGCAGTACACATTGGCTGTCATCTGATTTCTTGAAACCACATCACCTAGTCACTATCTAGCTGATGTGTTGCTGCAGCAGACAGGACATTCATGAGCAAAGCTGCAGCCACCACTTCCATGCAGATGAAGAGGCAGCTGGCGTCATGTCAATTGGCATGCTCCTCAATTCAGTCAAAATAAGTGGACACGAAAAGCAGGTGTTCACGGTGGGAGGAAACAGTTTAGCCAGAAAAAAATTTAAAAAGTCAAGACATAAGAACAGGAAGGTTAAGAGAGAACCCTTCAACAGGACAGATCAAAGATATTCTCAAAATTATGTCAAAATGATCAAAACATGGCAACATCAACTGAAAGTTACCATTTTAAAAATAATTAATATCAAATGGCTCAATTATCCTCCAAACCATAGGTTTAGGGGTGCGATTTTTATGGCTACAGACAGAATGTTTAGTTACATACATTATGAAAAGGTGTCAAATTTTCTTTCTTGTCTATGTATTTAATATATTTCTGGAGTTGCACATAGTCAGACAAAAAAGTGTGGTGAATGGGCTGTTATAAGTTTTGTAGCATCCAGTCTATAAATGAAGAAACTTTGATAAACCTTATCTTCATATTATCTGCAAAGGTGGGTTTCTAACACAATGTTTCGATTTCTAGACATGAAGTTATTTTACGGCCTACAGAATTTAGCATTATTTCTCAGGTAAAATGCAGCCCATAAAACTGAATAAAACTGGTGGGTGGCAGTATCCTAGTGTGACGCTTGACTGTAATGACGACTGAATTTTATTACTTAAAATCTCTAAATCAATAATCCTCGCATTTTTAAATGACATGCAAACCCACTATTCACTCATTCTGAGAATAATAAGGCTTTGGTAGTACAAATTCATAATCATAAATGATCAAGTACTATTTCATGAAGGTTTATTTTTTACTTTTTCTGAAATTTCTTCTGCTGGAAAATAAAAGGACTGAATTTGGATTGGTGCAGGGTATTGTTTTCTAGGCAAAGTGGACTTTGGAATAATTTGTGTTATAAAGTTATAATTCTGAACAAACACTATTTAAACTAATAACTCACAAATCATTAGATTGTTCTTGTCCATATCGAAAACATCACTCAAGCATTCACAGTGTTAGCTGGAAAAAGTATGTGAACCCCATGGCTAACAGCATTAACAAAAGCTAATGAGAGTCATGGGTATTAAACTTGGAGTCCAATCAATGAAACAAGATGAGCTACTTTGACTTATATAAAAACACTTTAACATTCTGACTTTGTTATTCACAAGAAGCATCTGCTGATGTGAACCATGCCTCATAAAGTCATCTCAAAGAGTTTAGGTATTCATCAGTCCACAGTTAGATAAACTGTCTATAAATGTAGATGCTGTAGTAGATGATGATGTAGTGTACAATCTGTAGAACTCGGTGCCCAGCCAGGATGACATAAAAAAAAAAAAAAATAGTAGAAGAAAAAAGAGTAAAAGCTAAAGGCTTAAAGGAATGAAATGGAGCTGGTTAACATCTCTGTTCATGAGTTTACATTAAACAAATCAATGGCAAGTGTTGATTCAACTTCACAGTCACTTTAAAAGTTGTAGTTTGTACAAGTGCTGTTGAATTTGTATTGCATTATACTGGGAAGTTTTTTTTAAATATTTAATCTACCCTCACTGATATTATAAGCCTTTTTCACATTTTGTGTTGTCATAGCAGGAAAAGCAAATGCGTTGCTAATAACATTAACAATGGCTCGGTTAACAGTGTGACACTGCACAATACCAGAACCACGAAACTGAAGGAAGCAGTTAAATGATATTCTGCTGTCATTAACTTTATTATTTACACCTGTGATTTTCCTACTGTGACATGTCAAAAGGTCTTCCTTGAAAAAAAGGCTTATCGGATGGAGAAAAGATTAGAAACACCACTCAATATATCTTCATAATATCCATAAAAGGACATTTTAACAGAAAATTGTGAAGGTGTGAAGTGATAAGTGAAGTAAAAAGTGTGGAGGTGACTATCACTTTATACTTCTAAGGATGCCCTTACGTAAAAAAAAAAATTCCATTTTTTCCTACAGATCCAATAGCATCGCAATTATGAGGTTATTCATGGATGTAAACCAAACAACTGAAGGCAAACCAATTAAAATCCAACTACAATATGTGTAATGGAAATGTATCTAAATTTCTGGTGCAAATTTTACCAGAAAGGTCATAAGCAAACACAAGACAAGACTGACTATGCTCCTGCTTTTCTTAAATGAGATGTTATTTGAGTTGAACAACACACACACGCACACACCTGCAACTTTCTCAGCACAGCGCTCCTTGGCTTTCTCCCTCATCATCTTGGGGATCAGGACCTCTCTTTCCACATGCCTCAGTCGGATCTCGTCTGAGGAAGCAGGGCAAAAAGAAAGACAAGTGCACAGGTCAGAACCATGGCCAGCACCATCATTAGCCCCAGTTTGATCTTCAAAAATGTTAATTGTGAGACATTTTGGTGCTCCTCATCATCATCATTGTTATTCATTACATTCACTCCAAACAGCGTTCAAGGCATATAAAGTGAACATAGACCATTAAGGAAGGCGGTATGCATATTGTAAATCCAAGTGGCTGAATAATGATTTATTCAACTTTACGTAGAGACAACCTCTTTACTTTAAGCTACATAGCTAAGGTTAGCAACACGAGTCCACATAACATTGAGTAGCTTTCCCTCAGTACACAGAGCTGAATAAAGCTGCAAGAGCGGTTTAACTTTAACTTGTAACCTACTAAGCAAACGTTATGTCATGAAAGGCACTTCGGACATTTAAGACAGCAGAAATTCTTAATACCTGCGTTAGCTGCCTCCATAATGGTGTTGTTTCTCAAAACATTACAAAACTGAACCAATGTGACCTAGCTTACGTACGCTCAAAATACTTCCGCTGACGTAATTGGGCGGCGTAAAAAAAAAACTACAAATCCCAGAGTCACGCAACACCTACCTATGAAAAGCATGTAACGTTCAAGATATGGTGATTTAGCTCTATGGTCATCTCTGTAGTGGACTGTTGAAAGTTTCTGATATTTGACTGAATACTTTTTTTACTTAAAGAGAGCCATAATATTGGGAACACCTCTCATCAACTATTGCTGTTGAGCAATAATACTACTACTAATACTAATAATAATAATAATAATAATAATAATAATAATAATAACATTGATGATGATGATGATGATGATGACTTGCGCCTGAATCAAATTTAATTATTATTATTATTATAATTATAATTATTTATTTTTATGGAAAAAGAGGGGTTCTTTCTTTACACACTCAAGTTTGAGTTTGATTTCAAAAGCACATAACCTTTGCAACATAATAACAGTTCTAGCTGAATGACAGAAGATACAATAGTCCTGCAAGAAATACAACCTTTGTAAAACTTCAAATCTGCAGTTTTGTTGAAGCTACATCAAGGAGCTGTAGATTGGACACTTTGGAAATGTTTTAGGGTGTATTTTGTTGGTTGCAGCAAGAAGAACGTGTGAGTCTAAATGAATCAGCAACCCTTATTTATATTAATTCTCACAGGCCAAGGAGAAGGAGTCGCAGCAATTTTCTACCCCAGCTTATTAATCAGACCCAGACCTAAACTTATATATAACTCATTTGAAAGAATTACTCCTCTTAGTCTTTCACACTGAGGCCAGAAAATGCACAAAATAGTTCTACTACTTACTGTTTATTAGCCACCTGCCCCTCACTCAGAACCTTTCTCTGAGTTCTCAGACTTTTTTATCTGAGTTAGTGAATTAAATGCGGAACAAAGGCTGTTGCTTTCCACATCTACATGAATGTTGAAATCACCCACTATAATTACATAAAAACTGATTCATTCATGAAGATTAAATTTAACATTTAATTCACCGTTAAACTCAACTGTATTTTCTCAATATGTAAATGAACCCCCTCACTGTTTTAGTCACAGCCTAAATCTTTTTAATTACATTCATAATTACAATTACAGTTACATAACATTTAATAATATTAACCCAAAACACTTGACAATTTTTAGTATTGTTTCAGTTTACAATAATGGACTAAACAAAATTTCATACAGCCAGAGTCTATCTGAGAATGCTGACACCAAATTTAAGGAAAGAATTCTATTGTTATCTAGTCCAATGCCATGAGCAAGACTGCTATCTCAACTTTATAGCCAAGACAAGTTGATGATCTTACTGATAGTGCTGCAGCCTCACTGGGTACAACACTCGACACCATAGTAGTGAATCAGAGGAGTTGCACAATATTAGTCTGTTGTGTTGTTTTAGTATTCATATGTGCTGGTTTACATCCCATATTTTTAAGAGGTAGCCTAGAGATATCTTTGAACGGTCCAAATGTCTTAATCATTCAGTTGTCCATATTTGAATCAATGTCATATTGAAGATTGACTTTCACAATATTTCGAGTATACCAATATACACAACATTATTATATTTGTATTTATTGTATGTATATTATGCTTTTATTATTTATTATACTATTATGATATTATTACACTATTATACTATTACTCTTATATTGTTATACCATTCACCAATAACTACTGCTACTATTTACTATTTTTACCGTATTTACAAAATTTAACTACTATTTATGACATGTATTATTTTATATTACTGATCTATTACGCTATTATACTACTACTATAATATTATAATATACTCATGCTTTACTGTACTATATACTGTTGTATATCATTGTACAACTACATCTCACTCTATACTATATCACACTTATATTCCATATTATACTGCAATGTTTACTTTTTTTTTTTTTTTTTACCATAGCCTATAATGTAAATATTCATGTTATACTGTTTATTATTATTATTATCAACAATGAGCTAATGGACACATGAATTTCCCCAAGGGGATAAATAAATGATCTATCTATCTATCTATCTATCTATCTATCTATCTCTTTGACGGCTGTGGAACAAGCACTAAGGTTAGCTAATACAAGTCAGCTAGCTAACCTGTTGCTAAGCTGAAAAAGAGATCATATCTCTCCTGTGTTAGCTTCTCTTCATTGGCTTCCTGTAAAATCCAGAATAGAATTAGAAATTCTCCTTGTTACATACAAAGTCCTTAATGACCAAGCTCCATCATATCTAATAGACCTCATGGTACACTATTATCCCAAAAGAACACTTTGCTCTCCAAATACAGACCTATTTGTGGTTTGAAGACTCTAATAATAGAATGGGAGGCAGAGCATTCAGCTATCAGACTTATCTCCTGTGGAACCAGCTCAGCTCAGTTTGGGTTGGGGAGCTAAACAGCTTCTCTACATTTAAGTTCAAGCTTAAAACTTTCCTCTTTGATAAAACTGTATAGTTAGGGCTAGCTCAGGTGAGGCATGAACCATCCCTTAGTTATGCTTCTATAGGCTGACACTGTTGGGGAAACTCCATGACACATTGTACACATCTCTCTTCTCTCTTCTCTCCCCGTCCCCATGTATTTTTGTCACACTACTGAAATTGTGCCCACGTAGTTGTGCTTTTCCTCTTAATACTCACTCTTCTTCTTCAAGCCCAGTTTTGTCTGTTGGGTTTCTCTTTATAATATTGTAAGGTCTTGACCTTACACTGTAAAGTGTTTTAAGATAATATATGATATGATTTGGCACCGTATAAAAAGAATTGAATTGAATTGAACTGAACAGTAGCTATACACGTAAATTCAATTCCTGCTTGGCTACTCTTAAGGTAGATTTTCTTTTTCTTTTTTTTTGTCTCGAATAAATGAAGGGAAAATTTGTATATTTATCTATTGCTATTATGTAAACCATTGAAAGTAATTTAATAATAGCTTTTAATTGATGTGACATATCACAGGAGGAAAAGCATGTGCAATGATGGCTGAATTACATTTAGCTGCTTGTGTTTCAAGGTCCTGGTTTTGTTCCTGCAGGGTCACTGTCATCCAGTCTTTGTGGTCCCAACATTTATGTTATTAGTAATACTGGTGCTTTTCTTACTATAATAGGTTAAAGTTCCTACTGTGAGGTGTGTAATATTTTAATTGGTTATCATGAAATCATTGTAGAAGTCACAAGTGTCACATGTTATTTAGTGTTAGACTCCCATGTAAAGTAGGCTACAGGTCACACCAGTAAAAATGTATAGCATCAGGGACAAACTGATATATTTCAATTAATAGCTGAAATTTTGTAGCTTGAGATTTGCAACATTTAGTTATTGAATGCTTTCATGAAGTTTTTCTCTTCTTCTCACAATTATTTACATTGTTCCACAAAAAAATAAGTTTTTTGGACTAACAGTGAAATAAACTTGCAGTAAAATAGAGACAAAATACTCTTGAAAGTACATCAACATCCAACCACAAAGTATCTGAATCTGCACCCCAGACTGCATGTTGAGCACAGTAAGCCTGACCACAGTCAGCTGTGTCGCGAACTAGCTGTCTAGATCCCATGCAAAGAGGCCCCACCTGTTCAATCAAAGCGACAGGTACACACTCACAGACCCACACACACCTTGAAGCAAAAGGCAATCTTCACACGTACAGTTTGACTTTAGACTACAGAAAGAAACAGGCATAAGCTCCCCACCTTTTTTCCCAAACCACACACACACACACACACACACACACACACCCAGTGCGCCTTCACAACTCACACTCACCCACACACAGCACCAGTAGATGGGCCAGATATAATGACTGTGTTGTTAGTCTGCCTGAAGTTCACACTGCGCTCTCTGACCTTACAACGTTAAAGTTTTCCTCTGTGGAGGAGCAGGTTCTTTTCATCTACAAATCAAAGGCCAGAAAGAGAAAAACAATGATATCTACAAGTAGAAAAAAAGAAGCAACCAACAGAAAACACAAGCCATCACCTGTATGCACTGCACATGCTTTTTTTTTTCTTTACCCAGACACATAGACAGATGGACACATGCATCTCCAAGCCCCACCAAACACCTCCCAGACAGCACACTCTTCTGTTTCCTTCCCTCCTGACACCAGGTGGGCATCTGCAGATTTTAATATCAGCAGATCTCCCCCAAACTGCGGCACCAGCCAAATATCCACAACAGGGCCAAGTGGAGCTCATACGAATGATTGCACAACCACTCAACCAGTCTGAGAAAAACTATATTTCAATTTCTCTTGAATGCTTAATAACACATGGGCTTTATTTGATATTTTTCATTCTACAAATAAAATGTCTCTGCAAGTGTAAGTCTGCATGGCACAAATATTTGAAATGTATATTCTCAAGAGGTCTCTGGCACAGGTAACTTGTAGCAAGAATGTATAAGTCGTATCTTCATGATAAACTATAAGCAATCAAGAGCAAAGACACAATGGCAATCTTTTGTGAGGAGCAACTGTAAAATATATATATATATAATATAAATGTAAATATATATATATATATTTAATTTTACAAGAAAAATCTGATGCTTTGTTGATATACGGGTGCTTTGGAAGACTCTTTTTTTTGAGAAATATTTTGCAGAATTGAAGAATTCTGCAAGTGCGCACACAATTTTAAAAACAGTAATTTGGACAAAGTGGCACAAACAAAATAAAATCATGGTTGTAACAAATCACCACTTTTTGTACATTGTGTGCAAAGCCAAACACCTTCTATTGTTCATGAGCAGAGATGGCAGCTCCCTATCATTGTAGCTTGCTTTCTCTATTAGGAAAACACAACATGTGTATTGTTTTTTTCATGTATATTGTAAAAGTGTTTCAAATTTTGGCTCTTGGCTGTTTCTCTGACTCCATATTATTTTCTCTGCTAGTGTTGCCTGACCACTGAACACTGCTGTTATGATCACCCCTGAATAAAAAAAAAAAATGAGCGCCCCTTTTTTCTTTTCTTCGTTTATTTATTTATTT